ACACACACACACACACACACACACACACACACACACACACACACACAAACACACAAGCACACACACACACACACACACACACACACACACAAACACACAAGCACGCACGCAGCACCATACATGTGCAAGCATATATACGAACCCAGACAGACAGAGGAGAAAAGGTGAGAAAAAAAGCAGGTTTAGAAGCAAGGACAAGCGGAGGGCAAATGCAGCCCTGCACATATAAAGAGCAGTAGTTTGCTGACAGTTGGCTGTACAGCCAATAAACAAGAGGTTAGAAATGCAGAAGGAACAGAACATCTTGGAACATGTTATAAAACACCAAAACTCTCATTAACTATGCATTTATATGAGAAGTGATTCAATACAAGAACACAGCATTCTGCACCAAACAAAAGTGTGTTGTGCTGCGTCATCGGCATGTGTGTGTCTCGGTCGCATTCACCTCAAGTTTGCAGCAAAATCGGTGATGTAGTTAGACACGTCACCGTTCTTTTTACCCATACGCCATAAGCTGTGAACACAAGAACCACACACACAAACACACACACAGGATTAGAGTGCACTGTAGCACAGCGGAAGCAGTGGTGCCCAATGGCATGTTGGGATATTAGTGTGTGTGTGTGTGTGTGGGTGTGTGCCCAAACAATCCCTGTGTGTCTGTAGAGTGTCAACTATTTAACTACAGACTGCAGGTGAACCGAGCATGGCCCGGTACAGTATTCAAGGTGAGCGTGTTTATGGAAATGTGTGGTTGCATGTAGTGGCACTGAAACAATTTGCCTGAATGCATTCAGTTGTGGAAGCTATAAAAAAATATTGTATTTTAGATTAGTTCAAAAGAAAACCAAACAGAGACCTAATACTTAAAGGATCAGTCCCCACAAATGACAAAAAAGCTACTTCCTCAACTTTAGTGGTATATTGACAGGTAGTTATTTGACTTAATCAGCTTTTGCAATGTCCTTCTCTCAATAGCCGTCATGTTGACATTTTTGCTGACGACCAAATATATAGTGTTTTAGAGATGACGCATTTTTCTAGGCCAACCCAGAAGCTATCATGGTTTCCTCGACAGAAAACCAAAGGGATTTTTCCATTCCATCAGCAAGATAAGCTTCACAATATGAGCACCATGAAGCTAACGTAAGGCTGTAAATGAACAACAACACGGTCACATGACTTCAGCGTCACCACCACTAAGCTAAAGGCGGACTAGTGTTTGGCGAGATGACGTTTAGCGGCTGCCTTTTGTAAGACACGTAAAAGCTTCAGAATTCACAAGGGGGATATTTACTGACATATTTTATGTCATAGAACAAAACATCTCATTATTCTAGAGACGAGGGAACTGGAAGCCTCACGTCCGTGAAACACGCTTTTCCAGATTCTGCCTTGTGAATCACTTTGGAGAACACCTATCCCGAAAGGTAAGTGGAAAACCCAAAGTTGCCAAGACAATAACTGCTGTCAAGTAACTGATGGGGGAATCCCAGGTGGTGCATTGTGAACGGGTCATGGTCTCTTACCCTGTGTTAAGGTTGAGTGTGCTGTGGCTGGGAGTGGCTGGGCTGGCCGTGCTTCGGGGAGGAGGAGTCACCGGGGAGGGTGCGGAGCTGAGAGAGGGGTGGGTGGAGGTGAGGCTGGAAGTCAGGGAGCAGACGGGGGACATGGTGGTCACTGCTGTGCTGAGACTGGTCACGGCCTGCGACAGCTGGCTGGACATCTGGTACAGGGAAAGAAAAAGGCAAATTCAGAGTTCTGAAACTTCAGATAGCTGAAAAACAGGGTCATGTTTATCACTAAATATTCTTCAAAAATACACAACAATGTTGGATATCTACCATGTGAGGGCTGTAGCAGGGCTGTTTGTGCGCTTGTGGGGCAGTGGGGGGCTGGCTGGGCAGGGGAGGGGTGGCACTGGAGGGATTGATGCGTTTCTCTTTCTGCCGGCGGTTGCAGAACCAGACCCGGATCACCTCCTTCTCCATGTTGAGCTGCTCTGCGATCATTAGGATCTCCTCTGAGGTAGGCTTCTGGTTCTGCGGGAAGGGACAGACAGGAATTCAGATCATTTCAGCAGTGCTATATTTCCACCACATGATGTTTATATTAACACAAAGAGCACAATCTGACATTTAAGAGCTCAGCGGAAAAATAATAACTTAACAAATTGAACTCATAACACACTTTTCTTCTGTTACACAATCAACAGGGAAAAAAAATCGATGAATTTCAATTTCTTCTTTTTTTGAGTTAAATAATAAGGTTAATCGTCTTACCGTCATGAATGCGCGCTCCAGGGCCACGCGTACATTTGTCTCGATGCTGGTTCTCTTCTTTCTGCGGCGACCAGGAAGCCCGTCAAAGCCCATAGAGGAAGAGGACAGGGAGCTGGGGCTGGGCAAGGTACAGTCTATGGACATGGTCTCTGATGAAGGAGAGCAAACATAAAAACAGATGAGTGTCTGACTCTAAAAGCACTTTTTTTAAAAAACATATGTTAATATGTAAAGTACTGTTTGATGAGAGCTCACCTGCATCATTGAGCCACTTCTCCAGCAGTGGCTTCAGCTTGCACATGTTCTTAAAGCTCAGGTTGAGGGCTTCAAAGCGAGAGATTGTGGTCTGACTGAAGTCGTTGCCATACAGCTTCCCCATGGCCATACCAACATCTCCCTGTAGGAGGGATAAAAGAAGAACAGTCAAAATACATCAACGACTAAGAAACTGCTAATGTAACCTGCCAATGCACACATGCACAGTAGGTGTCTCTCCCCCACCTGTGTGAAGCCCAGTTTGATGCGTCTCTGTTTGAAAGAGCGGGCGAACTGTTCCAGCTCCTCCAGGTCACTTGGCTCCTCGGGGTGAGAGGTCACTGAGGACACCGTGGTCACACCGCTCACCTCCATACTCTTATCTCGCTGTGGCGGGTATGACGTCAGAGGAACGAAAGTGAGAAGGAGAAGGAAGGGAGATAGAGACAAAGGTGTTAGTTTATTGCTGGTGCAGAGGCTGGTTTTCGATTTCCACTGACTAAAGCTTGAGAGTTTCCTCATACATGTGCTTGGAGTCCCATTCTATTTGAAGCAGACAGCAGGCTCCCTTGGTTTTGCTGAGGTAGCGAAATGAGATTTGGTGTCGATAAGAGTCCTGAGGGGAAAAATCACCTTTAATTATGACCAAAAACAAACAAATCAGAATTTATGTTCACAACTTATTTCTGCCAATAACACAAAACGCTATCCCAGTAAGAGGCCTTCCCACCTTGCTGGCCCTGCTGTGCCTGTGGGAGGAGGAACTGGGCAGGGGATGGGAGCGAGTGGCCGGGCACCAACACCAACTGCTGAAGCTGCAGCAGCTGCTGGATGTCCTGTTCAATCAAGAGAGAGAGAGTGACGGACAGATTAGAGAGAGAACAAGAATGCATGACTTTACGAGAGACAGATAGACCGCGCAGTCACACAAAAATGTGTTGTTATCAGCAGATTTGGACGTACAAAAAAAACATAGAAGTAGGAGGAGAAACTTAGAAATGGAAAATGTGTGCATTCGTGCAAGATCGAAACTGTGACTCATGAAATAAGCAATTGACATGTAAGAAGAATTGTTCCGTGGCTTGATACTGGTTCCTCAATCAAGCCGATCACCAGGATCAGGCTTAGATTGGCAGTCAGTACCTGGGCGGTGAGTTGGATTGGCTGGGAGAGGGTGAGCTGGGGTGGAGGAGGCGGGACAGGGACAATCTGGGCTGTCTGTTCCTGTGTGCTCTGTCCCTGTCCCTGGGACTGCGACTGGGCCTGCTGCCCTGTTTGTCCCGCCTGCTGCTGATGGGCTTGCTGATTTGCTGCTGCGGCTGCCTGAGCTTGCTGATTGGCTTGGGCGGCCGCGTGGGCAGCATGAGCAGCGTGGGCTGCACTGGACTGCTGCACAGCTGCAGCCAGGAGCTGCGCCTGAGCCTGCTGCAGCAACAGCTGCTGCTGTGCTGGCAACAGAGCTGTCAACTGGCGAAGAGGGAGAGGAAGGAGAGGAGAGGAGAGGAGAAGAAATGGACACAGGGAGACAAAGAAGGAAACAAAGTGTTCAAAAAGCAGCACAAGAGAAGGAAGCAGGGTAAAAGCAAAGCACAGTGTGTGTCTGTGAGCAGGTAATATAAGTCTGTCTGTCTTACCCCTGCTAGTTGGGAGCCGGTCAGCATGAGCTGTGTATGTTGCATGGCCGTCTGTGAGGGGGTCGGGCCGTGAGAGAGAGGAAGAGCCAGGGACATCTCACACTCCTCCATCTTATTCTGTGTGGAAGACAGAAAACAGAGTGGCAAATGTAATAGAACATTAATTTTAAAAAAGCATACATGTATCCAAAACATAAATCATAAAATGCCCTTTATGCCCCCAGAACATTCCCATTATCCCATTGCTGAAACCAGCAATTACGCCTCTCCTTTCCAGCATGAATGGTAACTGTTAAAAGCATCCTTGCACTAAAAAGACAGAGCAAATATATAAAAAAACGAAACACAAGGTAGGGAACCACCATGTTCCAGAACTTAGAATTGGTCAAAAAGGTTCATAAGAAACGTACAACTGCATAAGCTTACCTGGCTATTCAAGATCATGATAGACGGCATTGACTGTTTAAATTCGGAGTAATTTCAGATGATCGCTCATAATCAGTCCCAAGTGAACTAATGAGAAGTGCGTGTCCAGTCTGTCTCAGACAATAAGAGTCCACCAGTTTGTTTCTTTCTTGCACAAAGGGATCAACTTTCCTCACAGGATCAGGCATGTTTGAACTGGCAGAGGGGCACTCTTCCAGCTTAATAATTTACATATGCAAATCAGGTCAATTTACCCTTTCAGTGAAAGTCGCAGCATTATGGATATATTTCGATTCCCAAGGCACTTTGTGTAGGGAGAGTCCCATCATACTCTCAGTGAGTTTGTTTAGATTTAGGACTGGGTGGAGAGTCGACACATTATGAACCCCAACGTCAAACGCGACAAAATAACAATTGCGAAGCAATGAATACAAAGCTGAGGCAGCTATACTGTCTATAAACCCATTGTTGGAGGTTAAAACACAAAAGATGCACAAACATAAGTCCAGACATATGCACAGGCAGTTCAGTGACATGGACACACACACACACACACACACACACACACACCCACACACACACACACACACACACACACATACACTCACCTTGCTGCTGCTCAGGGTCGGTGAAAGGGGAAAGGGATTGACTTTCATTGACTGTGCCTAGAGGAGACAAAACAGACCTCATATCAAAAATTACTGCCAAAATGCATCATATTTTATTTAATCTATTTTATTTGCTAAAATAAATAGTGGATTTATTAACAGAAAATATATTTTTTATTAATTTTATAACTAATTTTAGTGATTTATCAAGCTGCATCCAACTGCTTAAATGTAAGGATTTGTTGCTAACTTCTGCTTTATTTCACGGTCAATTAAAGGATTAAATTGAAAAGACTGGCCAAAGTAATCGATAGTGTAAAAAGCCAGCAGTACAAACTGTCTGACTGGCAGTGTTGTCTTTTTTTGCATTAATTATGTGGGTGACAGAAGTGGGAGATAATGGTTGATTATGAGCACACCAGTCAGACGTACCTGGTGATTTGATTCAGGTCCATTCCGCTCTGAATCTGCGTGGGAGGGAAAGGAAAAAGTGAGAAATTGATTCTGTGTTGAGCTCCAACGTACAGACAACTATGGCATACGACATCATGTATGTATTACTGTTTATATAAAATATATGTATGTGCTTGTGAATATTTGCTGCCACTAACAGCAGCACGTCTTACCTGTTCCCTCCAACGGTGAGTCAGCCCCGATTTTCTCGACCTCTACTGCCTTTGACATCCTGATATCTGTAACAGGAAGACGCTCCGATAAATAAGTCAGCGAGGCTCATTCTTAAATATGCGTCAGAGAAATAAATGCAGACAGAAGCAGAACACATTTACGAAGCAGGCGATCACAATCTCGATGACGAAATGGGAAAGAGGTTGTCCAGGGCGTCGAGTTTAGATAGGTTAGAGTGTTTTCAGGTCACAGACCAAGCCTACACACTGTACAACAAACAATGTGGCTGAATCATTCACAAGTTGAATCCAGCCCACATTCATTCATTCTTTCCAATTAGTGGTTTAACAAAAGAGTGGGTTGATCTGAGTGAGCTTGTTCTAAATTTAGCTTGAGGTGTTTACGTGGGAGCAACTCAACACTTTGTGTGTCATCTTTTTGTGTGTGTTGTCACATCACTTCTGATACTGTATTGGGACAGTCCCTTTGGCAACAGGAGTGAAGGGAGGGAGGCAAGAAATGCAAGTCTTTAAAATGTATCTATTGCAAAAGGTGGAGCATTTTGGCACAGAGTTTGGGAAAGATGGGGATGAGGATGATCCAAGAAGAGTGTTGAATGTGTGTGTGTGTGTGTGTGTATGTGTGAGTTTGTGGTTTGAATGTCTGTATAGTGTGTGTAGTAGTTTTGTTATATTAATCACCCAATGGCATCATCTGACTACAGAACTTTTTATTTCTCTGAAACCACAAACTGAAAGACTACTTTTTGTTGTGTCCATTTGAAACCTTTTTTTTCTCTCTTGTTCCCCCCTTTCTTGACAAGCTCACACACACACACACACACACACACACACACACACACACACACACACACACACACACTCGCAGAGCTACTTCCCTTTTGTGAAAACATGCAAATCTGCCCAACGACCAACTAATTATATCTGCCACCTGCATAATAAACTCTCAGTCTCCCTCCTCCTTTTTCTCTCTCCCCTTTCACCCCTTCCTCTCCTCTTATCTCTCCTCTCTTCGTCCTGTTTTTTTCTCACGTTCCAGATAAGAAGGCGCTGACTGACACTATAACACATTTTAATTTCCCCATATGCGTATTGCTGAGCTTTTATCATTATAACGCACCAAATACTTTTATTCGACCTATAGTGCAATTCCAACAAGCAAGTGGTCAGGCTCGGTTTTCACCATCGGGGGGCAGCAGTGACACATGGAGAGGATGACTGCTCCGCTGACCATCACTGACCTGATGCCATTTTTAAAAGGCGAATCATCAGTCCAATCTTTATAAAGACAAGAACTTATAGATAAAATGAGCCACTTCCTGATCAAAAATAAGTGGACTTTGATACAGGCAGTGTTTTTAGGGGAAGGGGGAAGTGTCTGTGAGCTAGAAAATCTCCACTCTCCCGCCACATTGGTTATAACTTGGGGTCAGTACACACACACACACACACACACACACACACACACACACATACGCACACGCACACACACACACACACACAGCAGGGTTTCCCTCAAATGAACAGACTTCTGCAAAAAAAAAGCTAATTTGGCCATATGGATGCAAACATCTGGTGAATCTAATATTAGGGTTGACTTGTGGTTATTTCTGGGTAGTTTCTGTTGAAAATATAATCCTCTCAAGATGCACAAAATTAAGTCTTTGACAAATTGTAATGCGAAACTATGTATTTTGTGTCACTACAGTGGACTATCTTGTGCTCCAATCATCAACACGTGCAGTGTACAATATTCCAAAGCCAAATCCACCATTTAACATGATTGTCCAGCTCATAAAACAGCTGTAATGTGAAGTTACCAAAGTGCTGCCTCTTGTCCTGTACTGCTCGCTCGCAGGACACCCGGGCAAGGTGTGTATTGATTCATGGTTCAAAATGGCCTACAGACAGTAGCATGGTGGATAATATGGTCAGTAATACAGTAGTGGGACAGTATATCAAGATGCTGTGTCTTTTTCTCACTTCCCCTCCCGACTTCCCCTTGTACCGGGTTGAACACAGAGTGCTAAACCCAACACTTACTGTCAGCGAGGCTATTAATATTAGCCTGCTCTCTCCCTCTCTTTCACTCTATCTTTTGAAAACCTGCCCTCTCTTTTACAACACATTGCTGCACACACACTACTAATTTAGCTTGACACGGGGCAGAGTTACATGTTGGCAATGTTTTTACAATTTTAGTGAATTTGTTTAAATAAGTTTGAGAATAAGAGGCAGCGGCTCCTTGTTTTTTTCTACCTATATGTGGTAAAAACTTAATTTATAGAAGTGTTAAGAAGCATTTTACAAAGAACAAGGTTAGATTATTATGTCTATTTCGTCCCTCATTAAGATGTACTAATCTTACAGCAAAGCTCAGGGTTTAACTTTGACCCATTGAGACCAGAGCTGCAGCTCTCTGTATCTTAAACGGAGCAAATTTAATGTGCTATAATCCTGTGTCATAAATAAATGATGCAATAGAAAATGAACAAGGAACAACAGTGTCCTTGCTCAGGCAGGACTGTTTCTGTTATTCTCCTCTGGGTATTTTGGCTGAGACGAAACTCTGCTGTAACTACCCCAATACCCCCCACCTACAATTACCCGTACTTCCTGATTCAGGACGCAACCCCAGCGCCAAGGAGGATGTCTGGGAACTAAAGTCATCACACCTACACACCTATTAACTACGGATTTAAAAAACCAAGAAGCGCTGAGAGGTAACGATTTTGATTGCAAAATAGATATTTTCCATTTAAAACTGAGCATCAAAGAGTCGGCCATCCAGCTCAACAGCTTTTGCACATGAGGATGAAGACATAAGCTGACGTCACAATTTGAGAATGAAATAAGGTGCTGAAGAAAAAAAACAAGATTGAGTAAGTGGATGAAGACAGAATGGGAGAATGAAAGATGGAATTGAAGAGGAAAAATCTAACAAAAGTAAGAAGCTAAAGGAAAACCTGAGATGTGACATTGTCGGTTGCTAAGTTGGTGTTTGTATCAATAACACAGAGGAATGACTAATGACTAAAAATGCAAAATATCAACTGGTAAAACAGCTTATGAATAAAAGCAAATGCGGCTGAAATATAGACTGATGTCACTGTGGAGGGCCTTTATCACTGAGAACCTCAGTTCACCAGTTTGCAGACTTATGCTCATTTACAGCGAAATATTTTTTCCCTGCATTGATGCACTTTGAGCAGATGAGTGAGGTTGTAAAAGCAGGTGGCAAGAAGACTATATTGAAAATTTTTAAATTGGGTAAATTACTTATTTATTCACATATAATTCTGGGAAAAAGTAGCATAACCGCATAACAGTTTAATCAACCTAAATAATTGTAGAAAATGCCCCATAATTTTTAACTAATAAAAATGAATATCGAATAATAATAACTAGTTTGTTTTGCATGAACCTGTTGTACTATTTACACTAACTCTGTTTTTTTGCGTTGTGATATATTCTTGCTTGTCGCAGTTTGGTGCTCAGGAGGTTTCACTCGGGTCAGAGCAACGTACCGAAGGTCCCAGCTGTGACCACATCAGGTTGAGATGTGACTCTATGATTTTTAATCCATGAATCACTCCTTAATAAACAACGTATGGCGTCAAAGACACTTGTAATTGTCAAGAATCATATCAGGACATCAAAGACTGAAAATTATGAGCTAATTGACATTTAAAAATGTATTTCTGGTAATAGGTGAGTAAGCTAACCGCCTGCTGTACTTTTTGCTGAGACACGTTGTCGGTCAACTGAGACTCTGGTACGTCTATCAGCCTGAGCGGACCACCAAAACAAGGCCGAGGGGCAAGAAGAGTCCCATCCTTCTGTTTTGTTTAATCAATTTTCAAATACTGAGAATGACAGTTATTTAAGGCATTTCCTCTTTTGATTATCGTTCTTCTTTAAAAAACTAAAAAACAAGTATCTTTGTATGAGTCCTTAAAAAATGTCTTTAGAAGTAATTGACATACAGTTAAACTTTAAAAGGGACAAAACAATAATCAGTGCAACACACACACACACACACACACACACACACACACACACACACAC